AAGTTATAAGTGATTTTCTGAAAATTTCAATGGGAAAAGGGACCCCATTTTCGCTCGTTTTCGGTTTCTGGTGCCATAGAGCCCCATGTCTTTGAAAACTCCGTCGGCCGCGATTTTCCCATTGAAATTTTCAAAAAAATCATTTATAACTTTTGATTAAGTTATCGGATCGGGTTGAAACTTTGGCACCTGGTTGTGACCTCCAGCTCTACATTTGGGTGGAGAATGAGCGTTCGGCGATGCCTAGTTCATGTTTGCGGTAAAAAAGATCGTGTAAATTTTCTTTTGTGACACCCTGTACTTCGTAAGGGCCATCAATTCGAGCCCAGCTCGGAATGACCCAGTATTTGCAGGAACTGATAATCGTTGAATGAACGACAACGAAGCAACAATTTTTCTGAACTTGTTTTTTTTTTTTCCTTTTGTTTTGGGGGGGGGGGGGGGGGGGGTGGGGTTCATATTCACCAAGGAAGACTTCCCTCTCCCCTCGTATGCCGACTTCCCTTGTATTATAATGCCCCCCATCGAATTCAGTAGGGTCGGTATCAAAACATTAATCCAAACGCTTCCAAGTGCACTCCTGGAGAGAATCCCATCTCAGGAACGTTTGTGAAATTAATAAAACGTTTTGTGACACCCATATTTTTAGAACAATTCAAATAAAGCTTTCTTTCGGAAAATGTCTCACTCGATTGGCGTTTCGCCATTGTTAAGACGATCGTCAAAGTAGGTGACTAATCAATCAATCAATCAATGTTTATTTTTCCCTTGTGCTAACCAACAGATCGAAAGCCTACTGTTTAGGGGTTAAAAGCGCTAAGAGCGACGGACGAGTAGGAGGGACACACACCACAGAGCGCTACTTGCAACTGGTTTAATGTTGGGAAAGCACACGTACCGCGAAACCAACAAGACACACATCCGATTCAGTCAACCGCCGTTTATCACATTTCGTACTCTTACACCGTGCATGATCGTAAAAACGATAACTCCGATTCAAACAGGGTTATCGATGGGGCACTTACACATGTACCTTCGTCACAATCGGAAATAAAAAACGCTTCCGTTATCTCCTCTGTCTTTCTGTTTTTGTCTCGTGCCAAGATCACGGTATTGTCTAAATAGGGTAAACACTCACAGCTATTGCAATGCACCACGAGATTGCCAGAGGGGGCTGACCTCAATGACAGGGCATGTTTCCTCAGTCTTTCGTTCACGCATCAAACCGACTGCCCCACGTACACCCTCCCACAAAACAGAGGAATTCTGTACACAACCCCCACTCTGCATTCTACGTATTTTGTTGCGTGCTTCCCGTGTGTCACCTACACACGGGTAGGTGACACACGCGGTGACACCTACCCGTGTGTCACCCCGTCCCACCCTCCCACATAGCTTGCTTAATTTCTGTGGAGCTGAAAGGAGAACCGAAATGCCATGCTTTTCCCCCGCCTTTTTTTATGTTATGGCTAACGTTATGTATATACGGTATTACCACTGGTCTCTTATCTGGCTTGCCCCTCTCTTCCCTCTTCCCCCCTCCACGAAACTTCTTTAGCAAGCCCTCTACCACCCCCTTAATGATCTCACAGGGGAAACCTCCCTCCTCCAGCTTCCTCACTTGTAACCCGAAGCTGTCGGCTGCGCTGTGCGTACAAGACTTCGTTAAGGCCGCGTTCAGGCAGGTTGTGGCTATCCCCCTCGTAATAATCTTGGAGTGGTTAGGGTCATAAGGCAAAACACCTTTTTTCGCCCTAGGACAGTATGCCCGACATACATGCGACGGGAGAAGTAAAATAGTTTGTTGTTGGGCGAGTTGGTGAACGTTTGGATTCATGGTTTTGCGCAAAAAGGACGGACACAAGAGAGAGAAACAAACACGAGCGCATCATGGTTTTGCGCAAAAAAGACGGACACAAGAGAGAGAAACAAACACGAGCGTATCATGGTTTTGCGCAAAAAAGACGGACACAAGAGAGAGAAACAAACACGAGCGCATCGCGCTCATGTTTGTTTCTTTCTCTTGTGTCCGTCTTTTTTGCGCAAAACCATGAATCCAGACGGGCGAAGTGCCAACTTCAGATCCAAAAACTCAAACCCTTTCCACCGGGTTCTCACTTGTGAAACTCAAGCCCGAGGCGCTAGTTTTTAAAATCTCCAGCATGTGTGACACAAACACCGCCCTTTCTGACTCAACTTTTTTCCGGAACCGAACAAGATAGTCATCTACAAATCTGAACACACGGACGACTCCTGCCTCCAATCTGTTCCTAATCTCCCTATCACATTTTGCTAAGTACAGATCACTGAACTCTGGAGTCACACTCGCACCAATACACACCTTGCTTGTGCACAAGCTGTACGTCTCTAAAAACAATATATGTGAATTCCAAATAAAAGCCCAGCAACTCTAGAAAACCTTCCGTGGCAACCCCACATTGATTTTGGAACTTGACCTCCCCAAACACTTCAATGGCCTCACGAATAGCTACAAAGAGACGGTCATGTGGGATAGAATAAAAAGGGTTTTCAACGTCAAATGATACCGCATCACAGGCACCAGGGTTAGAATATGTCAGAAAATCCAGCACACCTTCTGCGTTGTTAGCCCCGAAAGGATCGTTCAAGTGAAGCTGGGAAAGGTGACGCTGAAGGTACGATGACATCTGCATCTGCCACGAGCCCCTCTGTGTCACAACAACCCTAAACGGCATGTCTACTTTATGAGTCTTTACTGTAAAAAGAGACAAAAAACTTTAGGTTAAGATTCTTAGCCCGTATGATCGACGCTTTTAAACTGTTCAGGCTCAAGTTCTGGCACAGTTCAGCAGCCCTCTTTTTTACCCTCGCGAGGGAAACGTTCTTTGCTTCCTTAAAATTCTTCTCTACTGACTGCTTGCACTTAAGTAAAAAAAAAATTAAGAAACAAAAACTACCTTGTAACACCCAGTCTTTTGAATTTGTGAATGATTTGCATTTTAATACTCAGGCAGGAGCACATCCGGATGTTATGTTATTTGATTTCAACATGGCGTTTGGTGCAGTGCAATATGAACGAATAATTTCAATGCTTTCTCGCCTCTAAATTGATCCATTCCTAGTAAATTAAATTTTAGCCTTTCTCACCGACCGAACCCAATCCCTAATTGCAATCTATTCCCGAGTTTCTGTAATTTCTGGAGTGCCCTATGGCAGCGTGCTCAGACCATAACTCTTTTTGATATATATTAATGACCTGCTTCCAAACATTCAATAAACCATTAGACTTTGCTGACGATTGTGCGCTATACCGGAAAGTTTCATCTCCAGCAGATCATGCGATCTTTCAAAATAATCTTAATAAAATCAGCGAATGATGTGCTACGTGGCAAATGAAACTTAACTCAAGTAAATTCCGCGTATTAAGAGTTACGAATAACAAAAAAACACACCTTTCCAGTCCTCTTTTTTAAACCAGGTAATATAATGTGTAACATCATATAAGCACTCAGATACAGTGGACTGTCTCAGGAGTTAATTTCACCGACAATTTGTCCTGGATTGCGAATATAGGTAGTATAGTGAATAATAGATCCCGCAAACTAGGTTGTTTTTTAGAGCTTAGCTCTTAACAGCCCGTTTCCGGCTTGAGTGGCGTCGCCGTCGCCGTCGGGGTAACCGCGCGTAACCCTCGTAACCCTCGTGAGGGTCACGAGGGTTACGAGCGTTACTCTCACAAGGGTCAACCTCGCGAGGATCACGAGGGTTACCCTCGTAATCCTCGCCAGAGTGACCCTGTTAACCCTCGTAACCCCCGCGAGGGTTATGAGGGTTTCTTACCCTGAAAAGGGTTACCCACACGAGGGTCACGAGAGTTACCCTCACGAGGGTCACGAGGGTTAGGAGAGTTGCCCTCACGAGGGTCACGAGGGTTACCCTCACAAGGGTTACTAGGATTACCCTCATCAGGGTTACCCTCACGAGGGTCACGAGGGTTACCCCCTGAGGTCACGTGACCCCCCCCTGAGGTCACGTGACCTCAAGGAATCACCTATCCCTCAGTACCCTTCCATCCTCCTCCTCACGAGCTGCGCTCTAAACCGGCGTTACAAGGAGTTGTAAATGTTTTTTTTGTTATATTTTTTAACGGAACATTTATTTTGCTATTTAGTGAATTCTTATTTCCCCCTTTATGTGGATAATTAAGAGATATGGTAGGTGAATGTTAGATTAGATATATGTTATCTTATCAAGACGTACACGTTCAAAATGCCGAAAGCATCGTTTTTTCCTTCGACAACCAAATCCCGTAAGAACTACTTCGCGCCGTGTATGAACAATGCGCAAAACTCGCTTTTTTCTTCAGGTGAAAACGGGTATAAATTTCTTGCTTGTAAGTCAATTATCCTTCCGAAACTCGAATATCCCAGCATGATATCATTAGATATTTAACCCTGAAATTAGAAGCTTTAGAGAACATTGATACCGCCCGTTTCATCTGCCGCGAGTACGCTCCCCTAACAGGTGTCTCATAGCCGAAGAGAGACCTGGAACTCACTTGTTCATGTTTTATCCACTATCATTTTGTACAAAATATTGGAACAGCTTCCCCGCACACGTAGTGGCTCCATCCGATCATATATTGTATAGGCAAAGCTGCGTAGATTCTTTTAGTTAGTTTTCTTTTTTTCCTAATTTCAATTGCAGCATGGCCATTCAATTTCCACTCGAGCACTAGCACTATGCTCATCCTTCTACTGCTGTAATGAAATTTTTGTACATTCAATTTGAAGTTCGGGTTTTAGTAGTCTGGCGTTGGGGGAAATTTGTATCAACTGTTCGTCTTGTTCTTTTTTTGCTTTTGTATATGTCATTACTATGACTATTCCTCCCTTTTTGAATCCCCCCCCCCCTCAAGTAATACATCATCAAATCAAATGCCTTTGAGGTAAATAAATGAAAATAAATTGAATAAAAAGTCTAAGTAAGCGTCTGCGCTCTTTTTTTCCCCCACTCTGCAGCCAGCAAAGAGGAAGCCACGGAGCTGACCGAGCTTTCTTCCCCAAGTTACCTCAAAATCTCCCTTCCTGCACCTGCGCCGCGGCCATCCCGACCACCTGCGACAAGAACGACCCTAAGTAGGCTGTACAATAGCTGTGATTTTTCCGATGTCTAATCACGAGAAAAACCGGCGCATATTTTCCAAGGTAAATCTCTTAAAAAAAAAAAAAAAAAAAAATCTCTATTTCGGTGATCTGTTTCGAATGGACTCTACAGGCGGTAATTATCGGTGAAGACTTTAGGTGAAAAACTAACAGTTCGAGCAGAAATAGGAGGGTACTGACTAGAACAGTCCTAGTGGAGCGAAAATTTCCAGAATTCGTACGAGCGCCCATGTTTTGAGAAGAGCGTTTGAACCGCCCGAAGAAGCCCGTCGCGTGTCCTTCTCCAACGCATGCAACATCTCTCCCAATCGTTCCACCAAAGCACACATCTCAGACACGTCTCGTACATCAGTTCCACTGAAAGGAAAGGACACATTAGTAACATTGTGTATAGCACACTATCTGGAGACAAATCTCCTTCCACATGACCTTCTCCAACGCAACAGCTGCCGGTGTCAATCGCAGCACACTTGTGGTCGTTTGCTTCTTTTTTTTTTTTTTTTTGTTTCAGTCAATTTTGCATGTTGACATTAAAGGAGCGATGCAACAATTTTTGTACTTTGCGCAAATACCGCTTAAAACGGATCCCTAACGTTAATGACCTATGAAACATGCGTTCGTTTTTACCCCACGCAATAGAAGTCCCAGAAAAAAAATTAAAGAAAAACGAGCAGCGTTCACCCCCTCAACTCGCAGCCAGAACAAGCGGCCACGTGATCTGGAGCCGATTATATGCCGCCAGTGTTGATCATAGCCACGCGCTGGGGTTGTCAAAGCGCAGGACACGCGCTGAGTTCCAGACATTGTTATGGCTCGGCTGTTGTCGTCGTTGCAGCGATTGGACACGGGTCACTACGCGAATGCTTCTCGAGCTAGCAATTATCACGAGCCCAAGTCGAGTGCCCAGGCAATGCTCGGGTCCAATCTATGAACCGCATTCAAATATCGTCACTTGGGTGTACTGCGATCCCCACGTTACGTCATCAAATTTTGCAAAGGAGAGATTGAATGAAAGTGATCGCTTTTGTCCTTGAAATTACACCGCAACAAAGGAGTTCCTTGGCCAGTGGCGTTGCGTGTAAGTACCCTTGAGTCCCAGGTGTGCCAGTAAGCTCGTGTCAAGTGAAAAACATTCCAATTGAATATCGTTGCACCGCTCCTTTAATAGCATCTTCGATCAACTCGCACCGGAATCGCCCTGAAACCAGTACAGTGCACAGCGCACTTCGGTCGTGCAGCGCGATGTCGGTGCAACATCGAGGACAAACTGCGCCGCGCCGGTGCACCGCGGCGAGCTCCACCTTGCGTCACTTCGCGTTTTGTTCGTTTTTTCCTGCGTAGGTCAGCGCACGGTGCCCGTCTGCTGTCAATTTCTCCTATTTTTTTACTCGCGGATTTGACGGTCCCACAAAAATAAACATCGTGGACGTGATTGTCGATGGGGTCATGAAGCGGGTGACAATTCCACATGTATATGTTGGCCATCATTATTGGTTCAAGAAAACGAAACACCACATAATAGCCGTACCTCGCTGTCATCGAAACGCCTCGCGCCGCTTTCCACGAAGTTCGTGCTTTTCGGGCGCTCCTTGCCACCGCAGCAATCGCCGGTAATTGCGGCGATGGTGAGAAGCTCGTCGTCTCGCCGTCAGGAGACCCGAGGAAATCATCTAGTGCAGCTGCGAGGCGTGTTCGTTTTTGCAAGATCGCCATCTCGATAGTCTGCGCGTCTACTAGTCCCGCCATCTTCTCGATTCCCGCTCCTGGCCGCAATGCCTGATGGGACTGCCCCCCGGCGCACCGCCGATTTTCTTGGTGCGCGTTGGGGCAACGAAAAGCCGCACCGGGAGGGTGCGCTTCGTTGATCGAGCACGTCCGGTGCGCACCGGTGCACTTGATCGAAGATGAAGGGGCGCACCTCAGTGCCCCGGTGCGCACCGGTGCGGATGATCGAGGATGCTATAAGAGATGTTTATCAGTTTCCTTTTTTTTTTTTTTTTTTTTTTTTTTGTGGTTAACTCTTTATTTTATTTTTTTTGGTGCAGTTTCTGAACCTAAACTGTTTTTTTTTTTCTTCATTTATTGCACGTGCGGCCACGCGTGCCTCCACAATCGGTCGCCATCCTTAAAAAAGGCGTGCAATAAGAAAACACGTGCCGCCATCTGTGGGCAGCGCTGCAAACGAAAGCTAAGCTATGATCCAGCCTGGGTCCTCGAAAACAACTAAGGGGCCAGGTAGGGAACGCGGACGAGCTACACTTGTGTTACACGATTTGTGAACGGCTGTAGGTGGGCGAAGTAGGCTCGTCCAATACGGTCAAGAGGTTAAAACGAAAACGTCTACGACCTACCTAAAAACTAAAAGAAATATCTCACATTTATGAAGCCTGGAGCGCTTTTAACGGAGCCCACTAGTTCCAAAAGTTCGTCCGTCCATCCATTCGTCCGTCCGTTAATTTCCCCGCTAAACTTAGCGGGGAAATTGACAACACGTGATGTTGTCACTTGACACCATTAATTTATTTAGTTACATACAGCGCCTAACCAACAGCCAGAAGCCCAAAACGGTAGATCACAGAGTAAGTTTACAAAGGTTAAAGACAACAAAGCAAATCCAAAACTCAACCCAGTGACAACACACTATATCAGATGGTTGATGACGTCACATAACCTGATGTGTCGTCATAGTGTCGAGCCGTGGTGTCACTTGATGTCAATTTCCTCGCTAAATTTAGCGGGAAAATGGATAAACAATACGTTCGCCTTCACTCCAACCAAAAACGAGTTTAATGTGTTCTGAATAAAAATGTAACCGTATCGTTAAACATCGCATTTTATGCCTTGTAGGGACGGAGCGGATGTAACTCGAGCGCTGACCAAGGCGCCCCTAGCGGCAAACAGATCAGATTTGTCGAGACTCGAGAGCTGCCACCACATTGAGAATGCGTCCTAGTGATCTAGATATTTCAAATTGGAAGATCCATATGCCTTTCTAGAAAAGCGAAAATATATATGCTGTGTAGTTCGATGCAGTAGTACCCAACTTTTAACTGGTGTGAAGTTACGCAGGCTTGAAACGAATCCTTCAAGTGGTTGCGAGTGGCGTTTTTCACCTTGCAGTTCGTGTTGTGTTTTAAACTGTGTTACGCATTTGCAGTGAGCTTTTCCTATTTGCACTGTAGTAAACTGAACACACAAACGCTAAGTTTCAAACACTTTAGAGATGATTTTGTGGGCAGTGGGCACGTTCATTGTGGCTCCTTTGATATCCAACAGCGCTTCTCAGTTTACGATCGAAAGAGCAAATGATCGTAAAAGCCAAGTTTTTGCTTGACCTGTGCTGCAGTCGGTCTTCTAGTAAAATAAAACCAGCTAAAGCCAGACAACATTAAACGCGATCGCTTTTTTTCTCTTTGCCCTCTCGGGCCGGTCGTTTCAAAACGGGCGTTGGATGTAGACATCACCGTGGGTTTTCGAAACAATGGACCCTTTCGGCTGACGAGCAGAAGAACTGCAATATCAATGACCAGTAAATCGCTTTGTCAACATATGTGGAGTACGAAAAGCAGTGTGTGGATACGATACAGAGAGACGTCGCGCGTAGCAAATGAAGCACAGCGCGCACAGTTACTGACTGGTCGCAGATATCGAGTTTCTGCTCGCCGGCCAAACAAGGTCCCACGCTTTGCGCTACGCTACGTTCGCTCCGATCAACGTCAGACTATAACAGAGCTTTTGTAAGCGATCGCCAATAATACTTCTTTTTTCTTCGTCTTTACGATAACGAGAGTGTGAAAAGTTGATGGCATGGTGGAATACTCCAGCCAGACTACATCGAAATCGACGCCGCATAGCGACAACGCCGAGAAGCTCAGGCGAGGAGGTCGTTTCACCTCTGTTGTCTGCTAGCGCTGCTAGCTTCTCGCCTGCCCCCTAACTGTTTTTTCATAAAAACAAACATCGTTTCCAGTAATCATTTTTATGGTTCCGTCGTGTCATTCTTACCCACCGTCTATAGAAGGTTTTTGTAGTCGAAACATTCGCACCGATTTTACGCTGCAGTGCAAGATATTTATGGTGATCCGCGTGCTGAACGACGAAAACAACCTCCTTTCGTCCGCCATTTTGCCTAACCATCGTGCCCCCTATAGTTCGCTGGAGTCGCGAATAGCGGATCAAATTAGTATTGATTTACATCAATTCCTGTCTGAGCATGAATGCGAAACAGTGTCGATGTGCTCACGTGAATTGTTGGGTGTAGACGCAAACGGGTAGATAAATTTCTACAGCAGTACGTTTCTTCTGCTCCTCTTTCCGAACTTCACGTTAAATTAATTGTTAATAGATACGTGAAATGAGTCCGAATCGATGATGTGTGCGGTTGCGATGCGCAACGGCGCGAACGTTCGTTGACAGCCGACATGTCGCATGTATGCAATTTTGATTTAGCTACACCTTCGGCAGAAACAATCGTTCTCTCGCTGTCAAAGTTATTTCGTTCGCAAAAGAATGCTCTTTTGTTGCATTGCTCATTCTGAGGCTACCAAGACATTTGACGGGTTTCATGCGCCCAAGTGCATTCATTAACTTTGGTCAGCGGAGTAGAAAGCGCCGTGCTACTACACTTGCCTGCGAAAAAACAAGAGCAAAAACTAAATTTATTGTGCCACATATGTGAGCCTATCCATAGAACAACTTTATTTTTGACAAATAAGTGCCAGGATTCGAGCTTTCTAGAATTCTAACTGAATTACATTTTGTCATATGGAGAACTCCACATGGTCGCGGCATAGCTTGCCAATGTTGTGTGCCGACCAAACAGACAAACAGAACGAACAAAGCCCGAATGAGCTTTGTTAATCGAAACCATGGGGAAAGCTAGTGCTTTCGAATGCGGTCGAATATTTTATTCGAATCGAATTTTCACATTATTTCGAATATTCGAGAAATACTGGGTTTGCAAATCGAATACGAATGATCAGTTTATATATTCAGCTAAGATTCATACTTCTTTCTTAAATATTGTAATGTCCTATTTGTACTTGAAATTTCAAATATTCGTTTACCCCTAAACGACCCTTTTCAAACGTGCGCGCCATCGAATAACGGCTACGCCGATTCTCCGAGACCGCCATTGTTTGGGAACGTACTCTGAGCATAGATGGGACGCGACGGCTGAGTCAGCGTTCGAGGAGTGCACGGATCCAATCACAATCGGCGTGTCAAAATATGAATGGATAGATGCTAACGGCTGTACCCTTTAGAACAGACGGTAGCTTGCGCCACCTAGCCTAGGAATGAAGAACCAAAAGTGTGATTTCTCTCCTTCGCCAATTTTCTTACCCTCTGCAATTTCAAAACTTTCACCAGGCGGTGTAGGACATCACCAAAAAGAAATGGCGACCTCCAATGTTGCTCAATGAAGTTTCGAAAAGGGGGTCTATTAACTACGAAGTATTGCGTTGAAGTAGGTTCCGTTGGGTTGTTTTGATCTTTGGTAACGTGCTAAGGTCACTCGAGATTGTGTTTGTTCGGGTTGAACGGTTTATCTCGAAGGTTTGTCACTTTTCCCATGTGTTGTAATATATTGATGATGTTTGTTTTGGTTTTGGTTCAGCACCTACTACGAAGAAGCCCAAGACCCACGACGACATGCTTCTTTGCGTCGTGGGACGCCGCGCTGTCTCGCAGAGCATGTTTCCTCCGGATGGCGTGTGCAGCCACACGTTCTACGCGCACGTGGTCTTGAAGGGCGGGAACATCTAGGACTCGCGAGCGAATACCACGGCCGGTCTCGGGGCATTCTTGGACGTCGCAAGGACCTCGAACCGCACCGGTTTCGGAATTTCGTTCGACTTCAGGTGAGAACTATACAGGCTTCCGTAAGAGCCGATTCACACGACGGACCGAATAGCGAGTTTCACCCGCGGACCGTGTACCAGGTGACCGTCGCGTCACCGATTCCTGCGACCTGCGACTCGTCCGCGAGCGCGCGGACTGATAAAGTCGAGCGCCTTTTCACTCGTGGACTTTTGGCGGGAGATGGACTTGAAAAGCCTTTAGTGTGGCAACGGTATACAATGTTTTCTTGTTTCTTTGTTTTCGGAGAGTTAAAATGAAAATGGCGCATCGCTGTGTTTTGCGCCCTCGCTGGTTTGTTTTGTCGCCCGACTGTTGGTTCCACGCGTGAAAAGAAACTGCAGAAACTTTGTCCGGCTGACGCGGCAGAGGTTCCGGTACTTCTCCGGGTCCGTGTCAAAAAGCTTCCATCCAAACACGTCCAGCACGCCGCGATAATTCTTGCACGTCCAATCAGCCTTTCACCGAGCAAGACCTTTTTTTCGCTGCGGTCTGCTTGAGTGTTGTGCACGAGTGCGGAGTGCGTGAAGGCATCTCCAAAGCCCCCTCCGCAAGCCCAGACCTTCGTCGTTCCTACGCCGATGCCTTCTTTGTTCTCAACCTTGTCTGTATCACTGTCATCATCATGGTTTGTGTTAGTGAAGCTAGTGCCGCTTCGCGCGAAGCGTGGATGCGTTGGGGTGACGGACGAACCGCGGGACATGTCCTCACGTGTTCAATCCGCTCGCGGATCAGTCCGTCGTGTAAATCGGCCATAAGATGCCGTCTAGAAAAAAAAAATAATAAAAGGACGAAAAGAGTAGCAACGGCGTGTTTGCTCCCCTCTACTGACGGACACGAGAAGAAGAACGGGGGGGGGGGGGGGGGGGGGGGGGGAGGGGGGGCCGGAGAGGCTGTTTTTTTTTTTTCTTTCCCAGGCAGACAGGAAAAAATTTCAGCCCTCCCGCCTCATCGTCTTTCGGTTTCGTTTTTCGGGCGCGTCGCACGCGTTGATTAATAAACGTTGTCGAGTGGATTGAGCTCCAGCGGCAGCGAAGGCCGCCTGTAATTCCGTGCCCCAGTCGAAACATGCAGAACGTCTCGGTTGCACTGACGTTTTTACCACTAATTTCGTCAAACGAACAAACGAAGCCGTTAGAAACAGCGAGGTTCCGGAGCAGTGCCAGCAGCGCTACGTCGCCACGGGCTGAGATGGCCGCCTCCGGGTTACAGAACGACGTGTCAACGTTGACTATGCGTAGAACAAGTCGTGTGGTTCTTGCGCAGCAGTTGCGGTGACGTCATAACGACGCCGAGCTCTTCTCGAAGCATTGAAAAAAACCTAGCGGGTAGACCTCAAGGCGTCTACCAATGAGGCCTACCCACTATTCTTTGAATCAAAGCCAGTCAGACCTCGGCGTCATTCTGACGTCGACGCAACTCCTGCGAATGAAGCAGACGAGTTCCTCTTCGCAGAGGTTCACCAGACGTCCCGTTTTCACCGGCGCAGTCCCGCTTTTGAGGGTCATTTCTATCACCCCGTCATTACGTCTCAATGAAGCTTCATGTCCCGTTCTGGTAAAAACGTGCACAGCTGTGGTTCCAGAGACAATTTTATTAAAATAAGCATACTCTGAAAATGCAACTTTTATTAGAGCACGCATTCGCGCCGTTTCTGTGACGGCATCTTCCAATACATATTGATTTTATAGGGGCGCGTACAAGATACATCCTCTATATTACTGAATGCGGCACGCTGCGATTGGCGACATTTCTTCCCCATTGTTTGCATGTGGGGAAGAAAGCAACGGTCTTATCGACGACCAAGTGGAGAAAACACGGCGTTTTTTATGTCCCACTGAATATTACCGGCGCTTCTTCTCCTGCCTCGCTCTTCCCTTGCCTCTTTTTTTTTCTTTTTTTTTTAGGAATATGGTCATTTTAATATTAGTCCAAAGGGGAGCGAAGGCCTAGCGTGTTTACGCCCCACAGCTCGGAGCACGTAGAGCGAAAGCTCATTCTGCAGAACCCACGAATCCTGACTTCAAGTGCCCACTCCCGCCTGTTCCGACCGGGATGAGCCTAGTACCAGGTCGTGGTTGCGTATCGCGGCTGCGTGATGCACGCTAGGCCCCAGGCTAGCGGTAGTACTTCACTGGCTAAAGTTCCTGCTTAAAGCGTAAACACTCTGTCTAAACACGAACGTCAATATTTTCTTTATTTTTTTTTACCGGACGGCACTGAGGTGGCGCATAATCTTCACCTCTCGCTAGTCTTGTTTCTGTGCCCGCGCAGTGACTTCACTTGGTGTGGTCAAACGCGAGATTGTTTGGAAAGAATGTGTTAGGCTATACGGGGTTTTGCGTTCTGTTTTCAAGTGGATCTTTATATAGAGGTTAGAGCAGCCCAGGTGAGACACCATCTATTTATCATGCTGAGCGGTCATTACACGAGGGAATAACCGTCACGCTCAAGCCAGCTAACTAACTGAAACCTGTTAAATAACTTTTGAAATATTGGTTTTATTGGTTTGGTTGCAATGGCATGTATTGACGCCAATTATTATATAAGGGGGCAACATTGTCTTTATTCCGCTTTATAATACGGCCTCATACTTTAAGACACGCCATGGTACGAGGGTGGTAAGGAAAGGGCAGATATAGGGTCAGTGGGGTTAAATGGGACGAATCGTAATAAAATCGTGAAATGTCCATCCCCCAATGTACTGCAGAAAGGAATCTAATATGGGCTTTCGGTCCTGCCGAGTGCTCCTGGGATGAATCCATTTCTCCAGCGTTGTGGGTCTGGTCTGCAGAGGGAACAGGCTTTGCCGGCACTGTGTGGACGGAGACCCTGGCAGTCCCACATCAAGTGGAAGCTGGTCGTGCTCGACGTTGGTGAACCGTCGTCGGCATGCTTCGTCTTCGGTATCTTCTTGGCTTTCTTGTTTTCGGCGCTGAAAGAGAATCATTCTGCTGGCGTGATTTCCGCGCCCGTACGTTGCTTCCGAAGTGGGACTTCAAACCAATGGCCGTAGTCGCTTGGAATTGAGAAGTCCTCATCGGGTACGAGGACCTGGAGTAGGGGCGGCGCTCTAAGCGAGCAAAGTCCTTTTCCTCCTTGTAGTTGGAAGGGTCCTTCAGGGTGATCGACTACACCAATATACACATTTCGTGAAAAAGGTAACAGACAGCGAGAGACTGCATGATCAATCAATTTTCGCATTTTTACACGAAATAGCATTAAAAAATGCAAAAACTTTGCGTTCTTTGCGCATCCACGAAGGACGCGCTGCCGAGAGAGTGATATCATATTTGAATTGAGCACCTCACGTCTTCTAACTTTCATTCTGGGCAAGGACTGCGGCGCTCTTTTTTCGCGCAATGTATCTAAAACTATTAAATTCACGCAATATTCTTAACCTAAAAAAAAAACAGAGTGAGGGCGCAAGCAAGCTTGTCTGTTTGTCTTAAATATGTATGTCTTACATGTCTTAAATATGTATGTCTTGTCTGTTTGTCTTAAGTGTCCTTCTTTCCTTATCGTAAAACTTATGAAACTTTATCATTTTCTGCCATTACAGGTAAGACGTCGCCTTACTGACTTCTTTGCCTGTCTCCTCTAGTTTTGGTTTCATAAATATTTTTTTACACCCAGTCTCAGGTGTTTTAACTGTTTAAATTAGTCCGATCTTCAATAGTAATGGCCACCAATATTTTACTTGCCACATGTCCCATAAAGCCAAACATTAAAAAAAGCCCATTAATATATTTGAGTGAAATGGTTACCGTGACTGCAGTATCTAATGTCCGCCGAGCCTGGTAAATACATGGTGAAGACAGCACTCGTTTAGCTCTTACTTTTTTTTTAATGCAAATATGTCTCAATGAAAATTAAAAAAAAAAAAAAAAACCTACGAACCGGATTAACCCCAAAAAGTAGCCTCCGACGCGGTTTTATCAACATCGGACAAAACCGAGAAAATCCCGAATTGGAGCTGTCCTTGAATACGATAAAACTTTCTGGAAAGAAACTTTTAGCTGCAGCTTTATTTCAGGGTCCTCCGCTCACACTGCCTTCCCTGAAGTGTCTGCGGGGCTGAATTTTAATCGGAAAACACGACCAGTATCTTGTTTTCATTTCTTATCACCATGAGGACGATTTGCAAGAATTCGAGCAAGCGGATATTTCCTCGCGGTTGGGAAATCTCCTCAACACAAGCGGCCGATAAACCTCCATTCTTTTTGTGCGATGTTAAAATGTGTTTTTGAGCTCTAGTTACTCTTTAATGAAAGGGTATTTTAGATCGGATTATTTTTTAATGACGAATTCAGTGCTTCTAGGTATCAATTTTGACGTCGGAGAAATATATAGGCATTTATTCGGACTCCTCCTAAAGAAAATAGGGAAGGGGCACTTTCGTGCAAATTACTCAAAAAAAAAACGTGAATGATGACAATTACTCCCGGTTCAAAGTGTCTAAATATATAACTCGATCACTCTAGAAAAAAAAATTGGCCGTAACTTGAATCAGTATAATCGTTGCTTCCCCAATTACATCAGTATTTCAAAACGTCTGATGTTCTGCCAGTTTCAAGACTCGTCTCTCGTCACGTTTAGGCTTTTGAGCTTTGATGGCAGAGAAGGAAGACGAGGCATTGTAAAGAAGCATGGCGTCCCGACAAGAAGCAGCCTGGAGCTCTTATTTAGTAACGGCAAATAAAGCCGGTGGCAGAAGTTCAGGACCTTAAGCTGGGATAGGAACAAGGAGCGATGGCAACAGCCAACTCATTCCAGTGTCAACCGCCCGACGAATTCGACTTTACAAGCCCAGATGAATGGCCTTATTGGAAGCGGCGATTCAAAAGCTTCCGCATAATCAGCGGTCTCT